AGCCCCATAACCAAATACCCGGGTATTACCTTCAGGAAGCCCGAAAACCCCAAATATTTTTTTTTCATTTAACATTTTTTTTGGTCTAACTAACTCCAGAAGGTCTGAAACATGTTCCTAAAAAGGTTTTGGACAGTGATTTTATCCCTCACGCCAATAACCTTAAACCTTACCCTAGCCCCATAACCTAATACCCGGGTATTACCTTCAGGAAGCCCGAAAACCCCCAATTTTTTTTTTCTTTGTTCTTTTTTTTTTGGTCTAACTAACTCCAAAAGGTTGGAAAAGAGTTCCTACAAAGGTTTTGGACAGTGATTTTAACCCTAACGCCAAAAACCTTAAACCTTACCATAGCCCCATACCCCCATAACCGGGTATTACCTTCAGAAAGCCCGAACACCCCAAATATTTTTTTTCATTTTTCATTATTTTTTGGTGTAACCAACTCCAGAAGGTCTGAAACATGTTCCTAAAAAGGTTTTGGACAGTGATTTTAACCCTCACGCCAAAAACCTTAAACCTTACCATAGCCCCATAACCTAATACCTTCAGAAAGCCCAAAAACCCCAAATATTTTTTTTTCATTTTTCATTTTTTTTTGGTCTTACTAACTCCAAAAGGTTGGAAAAGAGTTCCTACAAAGGTTTTGGACAGTGGTTTTAACCCTAACGCCAAAAACCTTAAACCTTACCATAGCCCCAAAACCTAAGACCCGGGTATTACATTCAGGAAGCCCGAACACCCCAAATATTTTTTTTTCATTTTTCCTTTTTTTTTTTGGTGTAACCAACTCCAAAAGGTCTGAAACATGTCCCTAAAGAGGTTTTGGACAGTAATTTTAACCCTAACGCCAAAAACCTTAAACCTTACCCTAGCCCCATAACCTAATAGCCGGGTATTACCTTCAGGAAGCCCGAAAACCCCAAATATTTTTTTTTCATTTAACATTTTTTTTGGTGTAACTAACTCCAAAAATTTGGAAAAGAGTTCCTACAAAGGTTGTGGACAGTGATTTTTACCCTCACGCCAAAAACCTTAAACCTTAACCTAGCCCCATAACCAAATACCCGGGTATTACCTTCAGGAAGCCCGAAAACCCCAAATATTTTTTTTTCATTTAACATTTTTTTTGGTCTAACTAACTCCAGAAGGTCTGAAACATGTTCCTAAAAAGGTTTTGGACAGTGATTTTATCCCTCACGCCAATAACCTTAAACCTTACCCTAGCCCCATAACCTAATACCCGGGTATTACCTTCAGGAAGCCCGAAAACCCCCAATTTTTTTTTTCTTTGTTCTTTTTTTTTTGGTCTAACTAACTCCAAAAGGTTGGAAAAGAGTTCCTACAAAGGTTTTGGACAGTGATTTTAACCCTAACGCCAAAAACCTTAAACCTTACCATAGCCCCATACCCCCATAACCGGGTATTACCTTCAGAAAGCCCGAACACCCCAAATATTTTTTTTCATTTTTCATTATTTTTTGGTGTAACTAACTCCAAAAGGTTGGAAAAGAGTTCCTACAAAGGTTTTGGACAGTGATTTTTACCCTCACACCAAAAACCTTAAACCTTACCCACGCCCCATGACCTAATACCCGGTTATTACCTTCAGGAAGCCTGAACACCCCAAATATATTTTTTTCATTTTACATTTTTTTTGGTGTAACCAACTCCAGAAGGTCTGAAACATGTTCCTAAAAAGGTTTTGGACAGTGATTTTAACCCTCACGCCAAAAACCTTAAACCTTACCATAGCCCCAAAACCTAATACCCGGGTATTACTTTCAGGAAGCCCGAACACCCCAAATATTTCTTTTTCATTTTTCTTTTTTTTTGGTCTAACTAACTCCAAAAGGTTGGAAAAGAGTTCCTACAAAGGTTTTGGACAGTGATTTTAACCCTAACGCCAAAAACCTTAAACCTTACCATAGCCCCATAACCTAATACCCGGGTATTACCTTCAGGAAGCCCGAAAACCCCAAATATTTTTTTTTCATTTTTCATTTTTTTTGGTCTAACTAACTCCAAAAGGTTGGAAAAGAGTTCCTACAAAGGTTTTGGACAGTGATTTTAACCCTCACACCAAAAACCTTAAACCTTACCCACGCCCCATGACCTAATACCCGGGTATTACCTTCAGGAAGCCCGAAAACCCCAAATATTTTTTTTTCATTTAACATTTTTTTTGGTGTAACTAACTCCAAAAATTTGGAAAAGAGTTCCTACAAAGGTTTTGGACAGTGATTTTAACCCTAACGCCAAAAACCTTAAACCTTACCATAGCCCCATAACCTAATACCCGGGTATTACCTTCAGGAAGCCCGAAAACCCCAAATATTTTTTTTTCATTTTTCATTTTTTTTGGTCTTACTAACTCCAAAAGGTTGGAAAAGAGTTCCTACAAAGGTTTTGGACAGTGGTTTTAACCCTAACGCCAAAAACCTTAAACCTTACCATAGCCCCAAAACCTAAGACCCGGGTATTACATTCAGGAAGCCCGAACACCCCAAATATTTTTTTTTCATTTTTCCTTTTTTTTTTTGGTGTAACCAACTCCAAAAGGTCTGAAACATGTCCCTAAAGAGGTTTTGGACAGTAATTTTAACCCTAACGCCAAAAACCTTAAACCTTACCCTAGCCCCATAACCTAATAGCCGGGTATTACCTTCAGGAAGCCCGAAAACCCCAAATATTTTTTTTTCATTTAACATTTTTTTTGGTGTAACTAACTCCAAAAATTTGGAAAAGAGTTCCTACAAAGGTTTTGGACAGTGATTTTTACCCTCACGCCAAAAACCTTAAACCTTAACCTAGCCCCATAACCAAATACCCGGGTATTACCTTCAGGAAGCCCGAAAACCCCAAATATTTTTTTTTCATTTAACATTTTTTTTGGTCTAACTAACTCCAGAAGGTCTGAAACATGTTCCTAAAAAGGTTTTGGACAGTGATTTTATCCCTCACGCCAATAACCTTAAACCTTACCCTAGCCCCATAACCTAATACCCGGGTATTACCTTCAGGAAGCCCGAAAACCCCCAATTTTTTTTTTCTTTGTTCTTTTTTTTTTGGTCTAACTAACTCCAAAAGGTTGGAAAAGAGTTCCTACAAAGGTTTTGGACAGTGATTTTAACCCTAACGCCAAAAACCTTAAACCTTACCATAGCCCCATACCCCCATAACCGGGTATTACCTTCAGAAAGCCCGAACACCCCAAATATTTTTTTTCATTTTTCATTATTTTTTGGTGTAACTAACTCCAAAAGGTTGGAAAAGAGTTCCTACAAAGGTTTTGGACAGTGATTTTTACCCTCACACCAAAAACCTTAAACCTTACCCACGCCCCATGACCTAATACCCGGTTATTACCTTCAGGAAGCCTGAACACCCCAAATATATTTTTTTCATTTTACATTTTTTTTGGTGTAACCAACTCCAGAAGGTCTGAAACATGTTCCTAAAAAGGTTTTGGACAGTGATTTTAACCCTCACGCCAAAAACCTTAAACCTTACCATAGCCCCAAAACCTAATACCCGGGTATTACTTTCAGGAAGCCCGAACACCCCAAATATTTCTTTTTCATTTTTCTTTTTTTTTGGTCTAACTAACTCCAAAAGGTTGGAAAAGAGTTCCTACAAAGGTTTTGGACAGTGATTTTAACCCTAACGCCAAAAACCTTAAACCTTACCATAGCCCCATAACCTAATACCCGGGTATTACCTTCAGGAAGCCCGAAAAACCCCAAATATATTTTTTTCATTTTTCATTTTTTTTTGGTCTAACTAACTCAAAAAGGTTTGAAAAGAGTTCCTACAAAGGTTTTGGACAGTGATTTTAACCCTCACACCAAAAACCTTAAACCTTACCCACGCCCCATGACCTAATACCCGGGTATTACCTTCAGGAAGCCTGAACACCCCAAATATATTTTTTTCATTTTACATTTTTTTTGGTGTAACCAACTCCAGAAGGTCTGAAACATGTTCCTAAAAAGGTTTTGGACAGTGATTTTAACCCTCACGCCAAAAACCTTAAACCTTACCATAGCCCCATAACCTAATACCTTCAGGAAGCCCGAAAAACCCCAAATATATTTTTTTCATTTTTCATTTTTTTTTGGTCTTACTAACTCAAAAAGGTTGGAAAAGAGTTCCTACAAAGGTTTTGGACAGTGATTTTAACCCTAATGTCAAAAACCTTAAACCTTACCCTAGCCCCAAAACCTAATACCCGGGTATTACCTTCAGGAAGCCCGAACACCCCAAATATTTTTTTTTCATTTTTCCTTTTTTTTTTTGGTCTAACTAACTCCAAAAGGTTGGAAAAGAGTTCCTACAAAGGTTTTGGACAGTGATTTTAACCCTAACGCCAAAAACCTTAAACCTTACCCTAGCCCCATAACCTAATACCCGGGTATTACCTTCAGGAAGCCCGAAAACCCCAAATATTTTTTTTTCATTTAACATTTTTTTTGGTGTAACTAACTCCAAAAATTTGGAAAAGAGTTCCTACAAAGGTTTTGGACAGTGATTTTTACCCTCACGCCAAAAACCTTAAACCTTAACCTAGCCCCATAACCAAATACCCGGGTATTACCTTCAGGAAGCCCGAAAACCCCAAATATTTTTTTTTCATTTAACATTTTTTTTGGTCTAACTAACTCCAGAAGGTCTGAAACATGTTCCTAAAAAGGTTTTGGACAGTGATTTTATCCCTCACGCCAAAAACCTTAAACCTTACCCTAGCCCCATAACCTAATACCCGGGTATTACCTTCAGGAGGAGCCCGAAAACCCCCAATTTTTTTTTTCTTTGTTCTTTTTTTTTTGGTCTAACTAACTCCAAAAGGTTGGAAAAGAGTTCCTACAAAGGTTTTGGACAGTGATTTTAACCCTAACGCCAAAAACCTTAAACCTTACCATAGCCCCATACCCCCATAACCGGGTATTACCTTCAGAAAGCCCGAACACCCCAAATATTTTTTTTCATTTTTCATTATTTTTTGGTGTAACTAACTCCAAAAGGTTGGAAAAGAGTTCCTACAAAGGTTTTGGACAGTGATTTTTACCCTCACACCAAAAACCTTAAACCTTACCCACGCCCCATGACCTAATACCCGGTTATTACCTTCAGGAAGCCTGAACACCCCAAATATATTTTTTTCATTTTACATTTTTTTTGGTGTAACCAACTCCAGAAGGTCTGAAACATGTTCCTAAAAAGGTTTTGGACAGTGATTTTAACCCTCACGCCAAAAACCTTAAACCTTACCATAGCCCCAAAACCTAATACCCGGGTATTACTTTCAGGAAGCCCGAACACCCCAAATATTTCTTTTTCATTTTTCTTTTTTTTTGGTCTAACTAACTCCAAAAGGTTGGAAAAGAGTTCCTACAAAGGTTTTGGACAGTGATTTTAACCCTAACGCCAAAATCCCTTAAACCTTACCATAGCCCCATACCCCCATAACCGGGTATTACCTTCAGAAAGCCCGAACACCCCAAATATTTTTTTTTCATTTTTCGTTATTTTTTGGTCTAACTAACTCCAAAAGGTCTGAAACATGTTCCTAAAAAGGTTTTGGACACTGATTTTATCTCTAACACCAAAAACCTTAAACCTTTCCCACGCCCCATAACCTAATACCCGGGTATTACCTTCAGGAAGCCCGTAAAACCCCAAATTTTTTTTTTTCATTTTTCATTTTTTTTTGGTCTAACTAACTCCAAAAGGTTGGAAAAGAGTTCCTACAAAGGTTTTGGACAGTGATTTTAACCCTAACGCCAAAAACCTTAAACCTAACCATAGCCCCATAACCAAATACCCGGGTATTACCTTCAGGAAGCCCGAACACCTCAAATATTTTTTTCATTTTACATTTTTTTGGTGTAACTGTCTCCAAAAGGTCTGAAACTTGTACCTACAAAGGTTTTGGACAGTGATTTTAACCCTAACGCCAAATACCTTAAACCTTACCCTAGCCCCAAAACCTAATACCCGGGTATTACCATCAGGAAGCTTGAAAACCCCCAATTTTTTTTTTCTTTGTTCTTTTTTTTTTGGTCTAACTAACTCAAAAAGTTTGAAAAGAGTTCCTACAAAGGTTTTGGACAGTGATTTTAACCCTAACGCCAAAAACCTTAAACCTTACCCTAGCCCCAAAACCTAATACCCGGGTATTACCTTCAGGAAGCCCGAACACCCCAAATATTTTTTTTTCATTTTTCGTTATTTTTTAGTCAAACTAACTCCAAAAGGTTGGAAAAGAGTTCCTAAAAAGGTTTTGGACAGTGATTTTAACCCTAACGCCAAAAACCTTAAACCTTACCCTAGCCCCAAAACCTAATACCCGGGTATTACCTTCAGGAAGCCCGAACACCCCAAATATTTTTTTTTATTTTTCACTTTTTTTTGGTGTAACTAACTCCAAAAGGTTGGAAACGAGTTCCTACAAAGGTTTTGGACAGTGATTTTAACCCTAACGCCAAAAACCTTCAACCTTACCCTAGCCCCAAAACCTAATACCCGGGTATTACCTTCAGGAAGCCCGAAAACCCCAAATATTGTTTTTTCATTTTTCCTTTTTTTCTTGTCTAACTAACTCCAAAAGGTTGGAAAAGAGTTCCTACAAAGGTTTTGGACAGTGATTTTAACCCTAACACTAAAAACCTTAAACCTTACCATAGCCCCATAACCTAATACCGGGGTATTACCTTAAGGAAGCGCGAAATCCCCAACTATTTTTTTTTCTTTTATCATTTTTTTGGTCTAACTAACTCCAAAAGGTTGGAAAAGAGTTCCTACAAAGGTTTTGGACAGTGATTTCAACCCAAACGCCAAAAACCTTAAACCTTACCCTAGCCCCATAACCTAATACCCGGGTATTACCTTCAGGAAGCCCGAACAACCCAAATATTTTTTTTTCATTTTTCATTTTTTTTTGGTCTAACTAACTCCAAAAGGTTGGAAACGAGTTTCTACAAAGGTTTTGGACAGTGATTTCAACCCAAACGCCAAAAAACCTTAAACCTTACCCTAGCCCCATAACCTAATACAAGGGTATTACCTTCAGGAAGCCTTTACACCCCCAAAAAAATTTATTTCATTTTTAATTTTTTGGTCAAACTAACTCCAAAAGGTTGGAAAAGAGTTCCTACAAAGGTTTTGGACAGTGATTTTAACCCTAACGCCAAAAACCTTAAACCTTTCCAAAGCCTCATAACCTAATACCCGGGTATTACCTTCAGGAAGCCCGAAAACCCCCAATTTTTTTTTACTTTTTCATTTTTTTTTTTGGTCTAACTAACTCCAAAAGGTTGGAAAAGAGTTCCTACAAAGGTTTTGGACAGTGATTTTAACCCTAACGCCAAAAACCTTAAACCTTTCCAAAGCCCCATAAACTAATACTAATAAGGAAGCCCGAACACCCCAAATATATTTTTTTTAATTAATCATTTTTTTTGGTCTAACTAACTCCAAAAGGTTGGAAAAGAGTTCCTACAAAGGTTTTGGACAGTGATTTTAACCCTCACGCCAAAAACCTTAAACCTTTCCAAAGCCTCATAACCTAATACCCGGGTATTACCTTCAGGAAGCCCGAAAACCCCCAATTTTTTTTTCCTTTTTCATTTTTTTTTTGGTCTAACTAACTCCAAAAGGTTGGAAAAGAGTTCTTATAAAGGTTTTGGACAGTGATTTTAACCCTAATGCCAAAAACCTTAAACCTTTCCAAAGCCCCATAAACTAATACTAATAAGGAAGCCCGAACACCCCAAATATTTTTTTTTTAATTAATCATTTTTTTTGGTCTAACTAACTCCAAAAGGTTGGAAAAGAGTTCCTACAAAGGTTTTGGACAGTGATTTTAACCCTAACGCCAAAAACCTTAAACCTTACCCTAGCCCCAAAACCCAATACCCGGGTAACACCTTCAGGAACCCCGAAGACCCCAAATATTTTTTTTTTCATTTTTGGTTTTTTTTTGGTCTAACTAACTCCAAAAGGTTGGAAAAGAGTTCCTATAAAGGTTTTGGACAGTGATTTTAACCCTAACGCCAAAAACCTTAAACCTTACCCTAGCCCCAAAACCTAATACCGGGGTATTACCTTCAGGAAGGCCGAACACCCCCAATTTTTTTTTTTTTTTCATTTTTCTTTATTTTTTGGTCTAACTAATTCCAAAAGGTCTGAAACATGTTCCTAAAAAGGTTTTGGACAGTAATTTTAACTCTAACGCCAAAAACCTTAAACCTTACCCTAGCCCCATAACCTAATACCCGGGTATTACCTTCAGGAAGCCCGAAAACCCCAAATATTTTTTTTTTCATTTTTGTTTTTTTTTTGGTCTAACTAACTCCAAAAGGTTGGAAAAGAGTTCCTACAAAGGTTTTGGACAGTGATTTTAACCCTCACGCCAAAAACCTTAAACCTTACCCTAGCCCCAAAACCTAATACCCGGTTATTACCTAAAGGAAGCCCTACCACCCCCAAAAAAATTTTATTATTATTTTTTGTTTTTTTTTTGGTCTAACTAACGCCAAAAGGTTGGAAAAGAGTTCCTACAAAGGTTTTGGACAGTGATTTTAACCCTAACGCCAAAAACCTTAAACCTTACCCTAGCCCCAAAACCTAATACCCGGGTATTACCTTCAGGATGCCCGAAAACCACAAATATTGTTTTTTCATTTTTCCTTTTTTTCTTGTCTAACTAACTCCAAAAGGTTGGAAAAGAGTTCCTACAAAGGTTTTGGACAGTGATTTTAACCCTAACGCCAAAAACCTTAAACCTTACCCTAGCCCCAAAACCTAATACCCGGGTATTACCTTCAGGAAGCGCGAAATCCCCAACTATTTTTTTTTTTTATCTTTTTTTTTGGTCTAACTAACTCCAAAAGGTTGGAAAAGAGTTCCTACAAAGGTTTTGGACAGTGATTTTAACCCTCACGCCAAAAACCTTAAACCTTACCCTAGCCCCATAACCTAATACCCGGGAATTACCTTCAGGAAGCCTTTACACCCCAAAAAAAATTTATTTCATTTTTAATTTTTTGGTCAAACTAACTCCAAAAGGTTGGAAAAGAGTTCCTACAAAGGTTTTGGACAGTGATTTTAACCCTAACGCCAAAAACCTTAAACCTTTCCAAAGCCTCATAACCTAATACCGGGTATTACCTTCAGGAAGCCCGAAAACCCCCAATTTTTTTTTCCTTTTTCATTTTTTTTTTTGGTCTAACTAACTCCAAAAGGTTGGAAAAGAGTTCCTACAAAGGTTTTGGACAGTGATTTTAACCCTCACGCCAAAAACCTTAAACCTTACCCTAGCCCCATAACCTAATACCCGGGAATTACCGTCAGGAAGTACAAACAACCCAAATATATTTTTTTCATTTTTCATTTTTTTTTGGTCTAACTCCAAAAGGTTGGAAACGAGTTCCTACAAAGGTTTTGGACACTGATTTTAACCCAAACGCAAAAAACCTTAAACCTTACCCTAAACCCATAACCTAATACATGAATTACCTTCAGGAAGCCCGAACAACCCAAATATTTTTTTTTCATTTTTCATTTTTTTTTGGTCTAACTAACTCCAAAAGGTTGGAAACGAGTTTCTACAAAGGTTTTGGACAGTGATTTCAACCCAAACGCCAAAAAACCTTAAACCTTACCCTAGCCCCATAACCTAATACAAGGGTATTACCTTCAGGAAGCCTTTACACCCCCAAAAAAATTTTTTTCATTTTTAATTTTTTGGTCAAACTAACTCCAAAAGGTTGGAAAAGAGTTCCTACAAAGGTTTTGGACAGTGATTTTAACCCTAACGCCAAAAACCTTAAACCTTTCCAAAGCCTCATAACCTAATACCCGGGTATTACCTTCAGGAAGCCCGAAAACCCCCAATTTTTTTTTCCTTTTTCATTTTTTTTTTTGGTCTAACTTACTCCAAAATGTTTGGAAAAGAATTCTTACAAAGGTTTTGGACAGTGATTTTAACCCTAATGCCAAAAACCTTAAACCTTTCCAAAGCCCCATAAACTAATACTAATAAGGAAGCCCGAACACCCCAAATATATTTTTTTTAATTTTTCATTTTTTTTTGGTCTAACTAACTCCAAAAGGTTGGAAAAGAGTTCCTACAAAGGTTTTGGACAGTGATTTTAACCCTAACGCCAAAAACCTTAAACCTTACCCTAGCCCCATAACCTAATACCCGGGTATTACCTTCAGGAAGCCCGAAAACCCCAAATATTTTTTTTTTCATTTTTGTTTTTTTTTTGGTCTAACTAACTCCAAAAGGTTGGAAAAGAGTTCCTACAAAGGTTTTGGACAGTGATTTTAACCCTAACGCCAAAAACCTTAAACCTTACCCTAGCCCCAAAACCTAATACCGGGGTATTACCTTCAGGAAGGCCGAACACCCCAAATTTTTTTTTTTTTTCATTTTTCGTTATTTTTTGGTCTAACTAACTCCAAAAGGTTGGAAAAGAGTTCCTACAAAGGTTTTGGACAGTGATTTTAACCCTAACGCCAAAAACCTTAAACCTTACCCTAGCCCCAAAACCTAATACCGGGGTATTACCTTCAGGAAGCCCGAACACCCCAAATATTTTTTTTTTCATTTTTCGTTTTTTTTTGGTCTAACTAACTCCAAAAGGTTTGAAATTTGTTCCTAAAAGGTTTTGGACAGTAATTTTAACTCTAACGCCAAAAACCTTGAACCTTACCCTAGCCCCATAACCTAATACCCGGGTATTACCTTCAGGAAGCCCGAAAACCCCAAACATTTTTTTTTCATTTTTCCTTTTTTTCTTGTCTAACTAACTCCAAAAGGTTGGAAAAGAGTTCCTACAAAGGTTTTGGACAGTGATTTTAACCCTAACAATAAAAACCTTAAACCTTACCATAGCCCCATAACCTAATACCCGGGTATTACCTTCAGGAAGCGCGAAATCCCCAACTATTTTTTTTTCTATTATCTTTTTTTTTGGTCTAACTAACTCCAAAAGGTTGGAAAAGAGTTCCTACAAAGGTTTTGGACAGTGATTTTAACCCTCACGCCAAAAACCTTAAACCTTACCCTAGCCCCATAACCTAATACCCGGGTATTACCTTCAGGAAGCCCGAAAACCCCCAATTTTTTTTTCCCTTTTTTTAATTTTTTTTTTGGTCTAACTAACTCCAAAAGGTTGGAAAAGAGTTCCTATAAAGGGTTTGGACAGTGATTTTAACCCTAATGCCAAAAACCTTAAACCTTTCCAAAGCCCCATAAACTAATACTAATAAGGAAGCCCGAACACCCCAAATATTTTTTTTTTTAATTAATCATTTTTTTTTGGTCTAACTAACTCCAAAAGGTTGGAAAAGAGTTCCTACAAAGGTTTTGGACAGTGATTTTAACCCTCACGCCAAAAAACTTAAACCTTACCCTAGCCCCAAAACCTAATACCCGGGTATTACCTTCAGGAAGCCCGAAAACCCCAAATATTTTTTTTTCATTTTTCGTTTTTTTTTGGTCTAACTAACTCCGAAAGGGTTGGAAAAGAGTTCCTACAAAGGTTTTGGACAGTGATTTTAACCCTCACGCCAAAAACCTTAAACCTTAACCTAGCCCCAAAACCTGATACCCGGGTATTACCTTCAGGAGGCCCGAAAACCACAAATATTTTTTTTTCATTTTTCATTTTTTTTTGGTCTAACTTACTCCAAAAGGTTGGAAAAGAGTTCTTACAAAGGTTTTGGACAGTAATTTTAACTCTAACGCCAAAAAACCTTAAACCTTACCCTAGCCCCATAACCTAATAAAAGGGTATTACCTTCAGGAAGCCTTTACACCCCAAAAAAAATTTATTTCATTTTTCGTTTTTTTTTGGTCTAACTAACTCCAAAAGGTTGGAAAAGAGTTCCTACAAAGGTTTTGGACAGTGATTTTAACCCTAACGCCAAAAACCTTAAACCTTTCCAAAGCCTCATAACCTAATACCCGGGTATTACCTTCAGGAAGCCCGAACACCCCAAATTTTTTTTTCCTTTTTTAAATTTTTTTTTTGGTCTAACTAACTCCAAAAGGTTGGAAAAGAGTTCCTATAAAGGGTTTGGACAGTGATTTTAACCCTAATGCCAAAAACCTTAAACCTTTCCAAAGCCCCATAAACTAATACTAATAAGGAAGCCCGAACACCCCAAATATTTTTTTTTTTAATTAATCATTTTTTTTTGGTCTAACTAACTCCAAAAGGTTGGAAAAGAGTTCCTACAAAGGTTTTGGACAGTGATTTTAACCCTCACGCCAAAAAACTTAAACCTTACCCTAGCCCCAAAACCTAATACCCGGGTATTACCTTCAGGAAGCCCGAACACCCCAAATATTTTTTTTCATTTTTCGTTTTTTTTTTGGTCTAACTAACTCCGAAAGGGTTGGAAAAGAGTTCCTACAAAGGTTTTGGACAGTGATTTTAACCCTCACGCCAAAAAACTTAAACCTTACCCTAGCCCCAAAACCTAATACCGGGGTATTACCTTCAGGAAGCCCGAACACCCCAAATATTTTATTTTCATTTTTCTTTTTTTTTTGGTCAAACTAAATCCAAAAGGTTGGAAAAGAGTTCGTATAAAGGTTTTGGACAGTGATTTTAACCCTAACGCCAAAAACCTTAAACCTTAACCTAGCCCCAAAACCTGATACCCGGGTATTACCTTCAGGAGGCCCGAAAACCACAAATTTTTTTTTTCATTTTTCATTTTTTTTTGGTCTAACTTACTCCAAAAGGTTGGAAAAGAGTTCTTACAAAGGTTTTGGACAGTGATTTTAACTCTAACGCCAAAAACCTTGAACCTTACCCTAGCCCCATAACCTAATACCTGGGTATTACCTTCAGGAAGCCCGAAAACCCCAAATATTTTTTTTTCATTTTTCGTTTTTTTTTGGTCTAACTAACTCCAAAAGGTTGGAAAAGAGTTCCTACAAAGGTTTTGGACAGTGATTTTAACCCTCACGCCAAAAACCTTAAACCTTACCCTAGCCCCAAAACCTAATACCCGGGTATTACCTTCAGGAAGCTCGAACACCCCAAATAGTTTTTTTTAATTTTTCTTTTTTTTTAGGTCTAACTAACTCCAAAAGGTTGGAAAAGAGTTCCTACACAGGTTTTGGACAGTGATTTTAACCCTCACGCCAAAAAACTTAAACCTTACCCTAGCCCCAAAACCTAATACCGGGGTATTACCTTCAGGAAGCCCGAACACCCCAAATATTTTTTTTTCATTTTTCTTTTTTTTTAGGTCTAACTAACTCCAAAAGGTTGGAAAAGAGTTCCTACAAAGGTTTTGGACAGTGATTTTAACCCTCACGCCAAAAACCTTAAACCTTACCCTAGCCCCATAACCCTAATACCCGGGTATTACCTTCAGGAAGCCCGAAAACCCCAAATATTTTTTTTTTCATTTTTCATTTTTTTTTTGGTCTAACTAACTCCGAAAGGGTTGGAAAAGAGTTCCTACAAAGGTTTTGGACACTGATTTTAACCCTCACGCCAAAAACCTTAAACCTTACCCTAGCCCCAAAACCTAATACCCGGGTATTACCTTCAGGAAGCCCGAACACCCCAAATATTTTTTTTCCATTTTTCGTTTATTTTTGGTCTAACTAATTCCAAAAGGTCTGAAACATGTTCCTAAAAAGGTTTTGGACAGTGATTTTAACCCTAACGCCAAAAACCTTAAACCTTACCCTAGCCCCATAACCTAATACCCGGGTATTACCTTCAGGAAGCCCGAACACCCCAAATATTTTATCTTCATTTTTCTTTTTTTTTGGTCAAACTAAATCCAAAAGGTTGGAAAAGAGTTCTTATAAAGGTTTTGGACAGTGATTTTAACCCTAACGCCCCAAAACCTTAAACCTTAACCTAGCCCCAGCCCCAAAACCTTATACCCGGGTATTACCTTCAGGAGGCCCGAAAACCACAAATATTTTTTTTTCATTTTTTATTTTTTTTTGGTCTAACTAATTCCAAAAGGTTGGAAAAGAGTTCCTACAAAGGTTTTGGACAGTGATTTTAACCCTCACGCCAAAAACCTTAAACCTTAACCTAGCCCCAAAACCTGATACCCGGGTATTACCTTCAGGAAGCCCGAACACCCCAAATATTTTTTTTTCATTTTTCTTTTTTTTTGGTCTAACTAACTCCAAATGGTTGGAAAAGAGTTCCTACAAAGGTTTTGGACAGTGATTTTAACCCTAACACCAAAAACCTTAAACCTTACCCTAGCCCCAAAACCTTATACCTGGGTATTACCTTCAGGACGCCCGAAAACCACAAATATTTTTTTTTCATTTTTTATTTTTTTTTTGGTCTAACTAATTCCAAAAGGTTGGAAAAGAGTTCCTACAAAGGTTTTGCACAGTGATTTTAACCCTCACGCCAAAAACCTTAAACCTTAACCTAGCCCCAAAACCTGATACCCGGGTATTACCTTCAGGAAGCCCGAACACCCCAAATATTTTTTTTTCATTTTTCTTTTTTTTTGGTCTAACTAACTCCAAATGGTTGGAAAAGAGTTCCTACAAAGGTTTTGGACAGTGATTTTAACCCTAACACCAAAAACCTTAAACCTTACCCTAGCCCCATAACCTAATACCCGGGTATTACCTTCAGGAAGCCCGAACACCCCAAATATTTTATTTTCATTTTTCTTTTTTTTTGGTCAAACTAAATCCAAAAGGTTGGATAAGAGTTCTTACAAAGGTTTTGGACAGTGATTTTAACCCTAACGCCAAAAACCTTAAACCTTAACCTAGCCCCAAAACCTTATACCCGGGTATTACCTTCAGGAGGCCCGAAAACCACAAATATTTTTTTTTCATTTTTTATTTTTTTTTGGTCTAACTAACTCCAAAAGGTTTGAATAGAGTTCCTACAAAGGTTTTGGACAGTGATTTTAACCCTAACGCCAAAAACCTTAAACCTTAACCTAGCCCCAAAACCTGATACCCGGGTATTACCTTCAGGAAGCCCGAACACCCCAAATATTTTTTTTCCATTTTTCGTTTATTTTTGGTCTAACTAATTCCAAAAGGTCTGGAACATGTTCCTAATAAGGTTTTGGACAGTGATTTTAACCCTAACGCCAAAAACCTTAAACCTTACCCTAGCCCCATAACCTAATACCCGGGTATTACCTTCAGGAAGCCCGAACACCCCAAATATTCTATTTTCATTTTTCTTTTCTTTTTTGGTCAAACTAAATCCAAAAGGTTGGAAAAGAGTTCCTACAAAGGTTTTGGACAGTGATTTTAACCCTAACGCCAAAAACCTTAAACCTTAACCTAGCCCCAGCCCCAAAACCTTATACCCGGGTATTACCTTCAGGAGGCCCGAAAACCACAAATATTTTTTTTTCATTTTTTATTTTTTTTTGGTCTAACTAATTCCAAAAGGTTGGAAAAGAGTTCCTACAAAGGTTTTGGACAGTGATTTTAACCCTAACGCCAAAAACCTTAAACCTTAACCTAGCCCCAAAACCTGATACCCGGGTATTACCTTCACGAAGCCCGAACACCCCAAATATTTTTTTTTCATTTTTCTTTTTTTTTGGTCTAACTAACTCCAAAAGGTTGGAAAAGAGTTCCTACAAAGGTTTTGGACAGTGATTTTAACCCTAACACCAAAAACCTTAAACCTTACCCTAGCCCCATAACCTAATACCCGGGTATTACCTTCAGGAAGCCCGAACACCCCAAATACTTTATTTTCATTTTTCTTTTTTTTTGGTCAAACTAAATCCAAAAGGTTGGATAAGAGTTCTTATAAAGGTTTTGGACAGTGATTTTAACCCTAACGCCAAAAACCTTAAACCTTAACCTAGCCCCAAAACCTTATACCCGGGTATTACCTTCAGGAGGCCCGAAAACCACAAATATTTTTTTTTCATTTTTTATTTTTTTTTGGTCTAACTAATTCCAAAAGGTTTGAATAGAGTTCCTACAAAGGTTTTGCACAGTGATTTTAACCCTAACGCCAAAAACCTTAAACCTTACCCTAGCCCCATAACCTAATACCCGGGTATTACCTTCAGGAAGCCCGAACACCCCAAATACTTTATTTTCATTTTTCTTTTTTTTTGGTCAAACTAAATCCAAAAGGTTGGATAAGAGTTCTTATAAAGGTTTTGGACAGTGATTTTAACCCTAACGCCAAAAACCTTAAACCTTACCATAGCCCCATTACCTAATAGCCGGGTATTACCTTCAGGAAGACTGAAAACCCGAAATATTTTTTTTTCATTTTTCATTTTTTTTTGGTCTAAATAACTCCAAAAGGTTGGAAAAGAGTTCCTACAAAGGTTTTGGACAGTTATTTTAACCCTAACGCCAAAAACCTTAAACCTAACCATAGCCCCATAACCAAATACCCGGGTATTACCTTCAGGAAACCCGAAAACCTCAAATATTTTTTTCATTTTACATTTTTATGGTCTAACTAACTCCAAAAGGTTTGAATAGAGTTCCTACAAAGGTTTTGGACAGTGATTTTAACCCTAACGCCAAAAACCTTTAACCTTACCCTAGCCCCATAACCTAATACCCGGGTATTACCTTCAGGAAGCCCGAAAACCCCCAAAATTTTTTTTCTTTTTTCTTTTTTTTGGTCTAACTAACTCCAAAAGGTCTGAAACATGTTCCTAAAAAGGTTTTGGACAGTGATTTTAACCCTAACGCCAAAAACCTTAAACCTTACCCTAGCCCCATAACCTAATACCCGGGTATTACCTTCAGGAAGCCCGAACACCCCAAATATTTTTATTTTTATTTTTTTTTGTCTTACTAACTCCAAAAGGTTGGAAAAGAGTTCCTACAAAGGTTTTGGACAGTGATTTTTACCCTAACGCCGAAAGACTCAAACGTTTCCAAAGCCCCATAACCTGATACCCGGGTATTACCTTCAGGAAGCCCGAACACCCCAAATATTTTTTTTTCATTTTTCATTTTTTTTGGTCTAACTAACTCCAAAAGGTTGGAAAAGAGTTCCTACAAAGGTTTTGGACAGTGATTTTAACCCTAACACCAAAAACCTTAAACCTTACCCTAGCCCCATAACCTTATACCCGGGTATTACCTTCAGGAAGCCCGAACACCCCAAATATATATATTTTATTTTTATTTTTCATTTGTTTTTTGGTCTAACTCACTCCAAAAGGTTGGAAAAGAGTTCCTACAAAGGTTTTGGACAGTGATTTTAACCCTAACGCCAAAAACCTTAAACCTTACCCTAGCCCCATAACCTTATAGCCGGGTATTACCTTCAGGAAGACTGAAAACCCGAAATATTTTTTTTCATTTTTCATTTTTTTTTGGTCTAAATAACTCCAAAAGGTTGGAAAAGAGTTCCTACAAAGGTTTTGGACAGTTATTTTAACCCTAACGCCAAAAACCTTAAACCTAACCATAGCCCCATAACCAAATACCCGGGTATTACCTTCAGGAAACCCGAAAACCTCAAATATTTTTTTCATTTTACATTTTTATGGTCTAACTAACTCCAAAAGGTTTGAATAGAGTTCCTACAAAGGTTTTGGACAGTGATTTTAACCCTAACGCCAAATACCTTAAACCTTACCCTAGCCCCAAAACCTAATACCCGGGTATTACCATCAGGAAGCCCGAAAACCCCCAATTTTTTTTTTCTTTGTTCTTTTTTTTTGGTCTTACTAACTCCAAAAGGTCTGAAACATGTTCCTAAAAAGGTTTTGGACAGTGATTTTAATCCTAACGCCAAAAACCTTAAACCTTACCCTAGCCCCATAACCTAATACCCGGGTATTACCTTCAGGAAGCCCGAACACCCCAAATAAAAATTTTTATTTTTATTTTTTTTTGTCTTACTAACTCCAAAAGGTTGGAAAACAGTTCCTACAAAAGTTTTGGACAGTGATTTTTACCCTAACGCCGAAAGACTCAAACGTTTCCAAAGCCCCAAAACCTAATACCCGGGTATTACCTTCAGGAAGCCCGAACACCCCAAATATGTTTTTTCCATTTTTCATTTTTTTTTTGGTCTAACTAATTCCAAAAGGTTGGAAAAGAGTTCCTACAAAGGTTTTGGACAGTGATTTTAACCCTAACGCCAAAAACCTTAAACCTTACCCTAGCCCCAAAACCTGATACCCGGGTATTACCTTCAGGAAGCCCGAAAACCCCCATTTTTATTTTTCATTTTTCATTTTTTTTTTGGTCTAGCTAACTCCAAAAGGTTGGAAAAGAGTTCCTACAAAGGTTTTGGACAGTGATTTTAACCCTTATGCCAAAAAACTTAAACCTTACCCTAGCCCAAAAACCTAATACTCGGGTATTACCTTCAGGAAGCCCGAAAACCCCAAATAATTTTTTTTCATTTTAATTTTTTTTTTGTCTGACTCCAAAAGGTTTGAATAGAGTTCCTACAAAGGTTTTGGACAGTGATTTTAACCCTAACGCCAAAAACCTTAAACCTTTCCAAAGCCCCATAACCTAATACCCGGGTATTAACTTCAGGAAGCCCGAACACCCCAAATATGTTTTTTTTTCATTTTACATTTTTTTTTGGTCTAACTAACTCCAAAAGGTTTGAAAAGAGTTCCTACAAAGGTTTTGGACAGTGATTTTAACCCTAACACCAAAAACCTTAAACCTTACCCTAGCCCCAAAACCTTATACCCGGGTATTACCTTCAGGAAGCCTGAACACCCCAAATATTTTTTTTTCATTTTACATTTTTTTTTTGGTTTAACCAACTCCAAAAGGTCTGAAACAAGTTCCTAAAAAGGTTTTGGACAGTGATTTTAACCCTAACGCCAAAAAACCTTAAACCTTACCCTAGCCCCATACCCTAAACCAGGTATTACCTTCAGGAAGCCCGAACACCCCAAATATTTTTTTTTCATTTTCATTTTTTTTTGGTCTAACTCCAAAAGGTTTGAATAGAGTTCCTACAAAGGTTTTGGCAGTGATTTTAACCCCTAACGCCAAAAACCTTTAACGTTTCCAAAGCCCCATAACCTTATACTCGGGTATTACCTTCAGGAAGCACGAACACCCCAAATATGTTTTTTTCATTTTTCATTTTTTTTTGGTCTAACTCATTCCAAAAGGTTGGAAAAGAGTTCCTACAAAGGTTTTGGAGAGTGATTTTAACCCTAACGCCAAAAACCTTCAAACTTACCCTAGCCCCATAACCTAATACCCAGGTATTACCTTCAGGAAGCCCGATCACCCCAAATATATATTTTTTATTTTTATTTTTTTTGGTCTAACTAACTCCAAAAGGTTGGAAAAGAGTTCCTATAAACGTTTTGGACAGTGATTTTAACCCTAACGCCAAAAACCTTAAACCTTACCCTAGCCCCAAAACCTAATACCGGGGTATTACCTTCAGGAAGGCCGAACACCCCCAATTTTTTTTTTTTCATTTTTCGTTATTTTTTGGTCTAACTAATTCCAAAAGGTCTGAAACATGTTCCTAAAAAGGTTTTGGACAGTAATTTTAACCCTCACGCCAAAAAACTTAAACTTTACCCTAGCCCCAAAACCTAATACCGGGGTATTACCTTCAGGAAGCCCGAACACCCCAAATATTTTATTTTCATTTTTCTTTTTTTTTGGTCAAACTAAATCCAAAAGGTTGGAAAAGAGTTCGTATAGAGGTTTTGGACAGTGATTTTAACCCTAACGCCAAAAACCTTAAACCTTAACCTAGCCCCAAAACCTGATACCCGGGTATTACCTTCAGGAGGCCCGAAAACCACAAATATTTTTTTTTCATTTTTCATTTTTTTTTGGTCTAACTTACTCCAAAAGGTTGGAAAAGAGTTCCTACAAAGGTTTTGGACAGTGATTTTAACCCTAACGCCAAAAAACCTTAAACCTTACCCTAGCCCCATAACCTAATACAAGGGTGTTACCTTCAGGAACCCTTTACACCCCAAAAAAAAATTTATTTCATTTTTCGTTTTTTTTTGGTCTAACTAACTCCAAAAGGTTGGAAAAGAGTTCCTACAAAGGTTTTGGACAGTGATTTTAACCCTAACACTAAAAACCTTAAACCTTACCATAGCCCCATAACCTAATACCCGGGTATTACCTTCAGGAAGCGCGAAATCCCCAACTATTTTTTTTTCTTTAATCTTTTTTTTTGGTCTAACTAACTCCAAAAGGTTGGAAAAGAGTTCCTACAAAGGTTTTGGACAGTGATTTTAACCCTCACGCCAAAAACCTTAAACCTTACCCTAGCCCCATAACCTAATACCCGGGAATTACCGTCAGGAAGTACAAACAACCCAAATATATTTTTTTCATTTTTCATTTTTTTTTGGTCTAACTCCAAAAGGTTGGAAATGAGTTCCTACAAAGGTTTTGGACAGTGATTTTAACCCAAACGCCAAAAAACCTTAAACCTTACCCTAGCCCCATAACCTTATACCCGGGTATTACCTTCAGGAAGCCCGAACACCCCAAATATATATATTTTATTTTTATTTTTCATTTGTTTTTTGGTCTAACTCACTCCAAAAGGTTGGAAAAGAGTTCCTACAAAGGTTTTGGACAGTGATTTTAACCCTAACGCCAAAAACCTTAAACCTTACCATAGCCCCATTACCTAATAGCCGAGTATTACCTTAAGGAAGACTGAAAACCCGAAATATTTTTTTTTAATTTTTCATTTTTTTTTGGTCTAAATAACTCCAAAAGGTTGGAAAAGAGTTCCTACAAAGGTTTTGGACAGTGATTTTAACCCTAACGCCAAAAACCTTAAACCTAACCATAGCCCCATAACCAAATACCCGGGTATTACCTTCAGGAAACCCGAAAACCTCAAATATTTTTTTCATTTTACATTTTTATGGTCTAACTAACTCCAAAAGGTTTGAATAGAGTTCCTACAAAGGTTTTGGACAGTGATTTTAACCCTAACACCAAATATCTTAAACCTTAACCTAGCCCCAAAACCTGATACCCGGGTATTACCTTCAGAAAGCCCGAACAACCCAAATATTTTTTTTTCATTTTTCATTTTTTTTGGTCTAACTAACTCCAAAAGGTTGGAAAAGAGTTCCTACAAAGGTTTTGGACAGTGATTTTAACCCTAACACCAAAAACCTTAAACCTTACCCTAGCCCCATAACCTTATACCCGGGTATTACCTTCAGGAAGCCCGAACACCCCAAATATATATATTTTATTTTTATTTTTCATTTGTTTTTTGGTCTAACTCACTCCAAAAGGTTGGAAAAGAGTTCCTACAAAGGTTTTGGACAGTGATTTTAACCCTAACGCCAAAAACCTTAAACCTTACCATAGCCCCATTACCTAATAGCCGGGTATTACCTTCAGGAAGACTGAAAACCCCAAATATTTTTTTTTCATTTTTCATTTTTTTTTGGTCTAAATAACTCCAAAAGGTTGGAAAAGAGTTCCTACAAAGGTTTTGGACAGTGATTTTAACCCTAACGCCAAAAACCTTAAACCTAACCATAGCCCCATAACCAAATACCCGGGTATTACCTTCAGGAAACCCGAAAACCTCAAATATTTTTTTCATTTTACATTTTTATGGTCTAACTAACTCCAAAAGGTTTGAATAGAGTTCCTACAAAGGTTTTGGACAGTGATTTTAACCCTAACGCCAAATACCTTAAACCTTACCCTAGCCCCAAAACCTAATACCCGGGTATTACCATCAGGAAGCCCGAAAACCCCCAATTTTTTTTTTCTTTGTTCTTTTTTTTTTGGTCTTACTAACTCCAAAAGGTCTGAAACATGTTCCTAAAAAGGTTTTGGACAGTGATTTTAATCCTAACGCCAAAAACCTTAAACCTTACCCTAGCCCCATAACCTAATACCCGGGTATTACCTTCAGGAAGCCCGAACACCCCAAATAAAAATTTTTATTTTTATTTTTTTTGGTCTTACTAACTCCAAAAGGTTGGAAAAGAGTTCCTACAAAGGTTTTGGACAGTGATTTTTACCCTAACGCCGAAAGACTCAAACGTTTCCAAAGCCCCAAAACCTAATACCCGGGTATTACCTTCAGGAAGCCCGAACACCCCAAATATTTTTTTTTTCATTTTTCATTTTTTTTTGGTCTAACTAACTCCAAAAGGTTGGAAAAGAGTTCCTACAAAGGTTTTGGACAGTGATTTTAACCCTAACACCAAAAACCTTAAACCTTACCCTAGCCCCATAACCTTATACCCGGGTATTACCTTCAGGAAGCCCGAAAACCCCCAATTTTTTTTTCCTTTTTCATTTTTTTTTTGGTCTAACTAACTCCAAAAGGTTGGAAAAGAGTTCCTATAAAGGTTTTGGACAGTGATTTTAACCCTAATGCCAAAAACCTTAAACCTTTCCAAAGCCCCATAAACTAATACTAATAAGGAAGCCCGAACACCCCAAATATATTTTTTTTAATTAATCATTTTTTTTGGTCTAACTAACTCCAAATGGTTGGAAAAGAGTTCCTACAAAGGTTTTGGACAGTGATTTTAACCCTAACGCCAAAAACCTTAAACCTTACCCTAGCCCAAAAACCCAACACCCGGGCATTACCTTCAGGAACCCCGAAGACCCCAAATATTTTTTTTTTCATTTTTGGTTTTTTTTTGGTCTAACTAACTCCAAAAGGTTGGAAAAGAGTTCCTACAAAGGTTTTGGACAGTGATTTTAACCCTAACGCCAAAAACCTTAAACCTTACCCTAACCCCAAAACCTAAAACCCGGGTATTACCTTCAGGAAGGCCGAACAACCCAAATTTTTTTTTTTTTCATTTTTCGTTATTTTTTGGTCTAATTCCAAAAGGTCTGAAACATGTTCCTAAAAAGGTTTTGGACAGTAATTTTAACTCTAACGCCAAAAACCTTAAACCTTACCCTAGCCCATAACCTAATACCCGGGTATTACCTTCAGGAAGCCCGAAAACCCCAAATATTTTTTTTTCATTTTTCGTTTTTTTTTGGTCTAACTAACTCCGAAAGGGTTGGAAAAGAGTTCCTACAAAGGTTTTGGACAGTGATTTTAACCCTCACGCCAAAAAACTTAAACCTTACCCTAGCCCCAAAACCTAATACCCGGGTATTACCTTCAGGAAGCCCGAAGACCCCAAATATTTTTTTTCCATTTTTCGTTTTTTTTTTGGTCTAACTAATTCCAAAAGGTCTGAAACATGTTCCTAAAAAGGTTTTGGACAGTGATTTTAACCCTCACGCCAAAAACCTTAAACCTTACCCTAGCCCCATAACCTAATACCCGGGTATTACCTTCAGGAAGCCCGAACACCCCAAATATTTTATTTTCATTTTTCTTTTTTTGGTCAAACTAAATCCAAAAGGTTGGATAAGAGTTCTTATAAAGGTTTTGGACAGTGATTTTAACCCTAACGCCAAAAACCTTAAACCTTAACCTAGCCCCAAAACCTTATACCCGGGTATTACCTTCAGGAGGCCCGAAAACCACAAATATTTTTTTTTCATTTTTTATTTTTTTTTGGTCTAACTAATTCCAAAAGGTTGGAAAAGAGTTCCTACAAAGGTTTTGCACAGTGATTTTAACCCTCACGCCAAAAACCTTAAACCTTAACCTAGCCCCAAAACCTGATACCCGGGTATTACCTTCAGGAAGCCCGAACACCCCAAATATTTTTTTTTCATTTTTCATTTTTTTTGGTCTAACTAACTCCAAAAGGTTGGAAAAGAGTTCCTACAAAGGTTTTGGACAGTGATTTTAACCCTAACACCAAAAACCTTAAACCTTACCCTAGCCCCATAACCTTATACCCGGGTATTACCTTCAGGAAGCCCGAACACCCCAAATATATATATTTTATTTTTATTTTTCATTTGTTTTTTGGTCTAACTCACTCCAAAAGGTTGGAAAAGAGTTCCTACAAAGGTTTTGGACAGTGATTTTAACCCTCACGCCAAAAACCTTAAACCTTACCATAGCCCCATTACCTAATAGCCGGGTATTACCTTAAGGAAGACTGAAAACCCGAAATATTTTTTTTTAATTTTTCATTTTTTTTTGGTCTAAATAACTCCAAAAGGTTGGAAAAGAGTTCCTACAAAGGTTTTGGACAGTGATTTTAACCCTAACGCCAAAAACCTTAAACCTAACCATAGCCCCATAACCAAATACCCGGGTATTACCTTCAGGAAACCCGAAAACCTCAAATATTTTTTTCATTTTACATTTTTATGGTCTAACTAACTCCAAAAGGTTTGAATAGAGTTCCTACAAAGGTTTTGGACAGTGATTTTAACCCTAACGCCAAATACCTTAAACCTTACCCTAGCCCCAAAACCTAATACCTGGGTATTACCATCAGGAAGCCCAAAAACCCCCAATTTTTTTTTTTCTTTGTTCTTTTTTTTTTGGTCTTACTAACTCCAAAAGGTCTGAAACATGTTCCTACAAAGGTTTTGGACAGTGATTTTAACCCTAACGCCAAAAACCTTAAACCTTACCCTAGCCCCAAAACCTAATACCCGGGTATTACCTTCAGGAAGCCCGAACACCCCAAATAAAAATTTTTATTTTTATTTTTTTTGGTCTTACTAACTCCAAAAGGTTTGAATAGAGTTCCTACAAAGGTTTTGGACAGTGATTTTTACCCTAACGCCGAAAGACTCAAACGTTTCCAAAGCCCCAAAACCTAATACCCGGGTATTACCTTCAGGAAGCCCGAACACCCCAAATATGTTTTTTCCATTTTTCTTTTTTTTTTGGTCTAACTAATTCCAAAAGGTTGGAAAAGAGTTCCTACAGAGGTTTTGGACAGTGATTTTAACCCTAACGCCAAAAACCTTTAACTTTACCCTAGCCCCATAACCTGATACCCGGGTATTACCTTCAGGAAGCCCGAAAACCCCCATTTTTATTTTTCATTTTTCATTTTTTTTTTGGTCTAGCTAACTCCAAAAGGTTGGAAAAGAGTTCCTACAAAGGTTTTGGACAGTGATTTTAACCCTAACGCCAAAAACCTTAAACCTTAACCTAGCCCCAAAACCTTATACCCGGGTATTACCTTCAGGAGGCCCGAAAACCACAAATATTTTTTTTTCATTTTTTATTTTTTTTTGGTCTAACTAATTCCAAAAGGTTTGAAAAGAGTTCCTACAAAGGTTTTGCACAGTGATTTTAACCCTCACGCCAAAAACCTTAAACCTTAACCTAGCCCCAAAACCTGATACCCGGGTATTACCTTCAGGAAGCCCGAACACCCCAAATATTTTTTTTTCATTTTCATTTTTTTTGGTCTAACTAACTCCAAAAGGTTGGAAAAGAGTTCCTACAAAGGTTTTGGACAGTGATTTTAACCCTAACACCAAAAACCTTAAACCTTACCCTAGCCCCATAACCTTATACCCGGGTATTACCTTCAGGAAGCCCGAACACCCCAAATATATATATTTTATTTTTATTTTTCATTTGTTTTTTGGTCTAACTAACTCCAAAAGGTTGGAAAAGAGTTCCTACAAAGGTTTTGGACAGTGATTTTAACCCTAACGCCAAAAACCTTAAACCTTACCATAGCCCCATTACCTAATAGCCGGGTATTACCTTAAGGAAGACTGAAAACCCGAAATATTTTTTTTTAATTTTTCATTTTTTTTTGGTCTAACTAACTCCAAAAGGTTGGAAAAGAGTTCCTACAAAGGTTTTGGACAGTGATTTTAACCCTAACGCCAAAAAACCTTAAACCTTACCCTAGCCCCATACCCTAAACCAGGTATTACCTTCAGGAAGCCCGAACACCCCAAATATTTTTTTTTTCATTTTCATTTTTTTTTGGTCTAACTCCAAAAGGTTTGAATAGAGTTCCTACAAAGGTTTTGGCAGTGATTTTAACCCCTAACGCCAAAAACCTTTAACCTTTCCAAAGCCCCATAACCTAATACTCGGGTATTACCTTCAGGAAGCACGAACACCCCAAATATGTTTTTTTCATTTTTCATTTTTTTTTGGTCTAACTCATTCCAAAAGGTTTGGAAAAGAGTTCCTACAAAGGTTTTGGACAGTGATTTTAACCCTAACGCCAAAAACCTTCAAACTTACCCTAGCCCCATAACCTAATACCCAGGTATTACCTTCAGGAAGCCCGATCACCCCAAATATATATTTTTTATTTTTATTTTTTTTGGTCTAACTAACTCCAAAAGGTTGGAAAAGAGTTCCTATAAACTTTTTGGACAGTGATTTTAACTCTAACGCCAAAAACCTTAAACCTTACCCTAGCCCCAAAACCTAATACCCGGGTATTACCTTCAGGAAGGCTGAAAACCACAAATATATTTTTTTCATTTTTCCTTTTTTTCTTGGTCTAACTAACTCCAAAAGGTTTGAATAGAGTTCCTACAAAGGTTTTGGACAGTGATTTTAACCCTAACGCCAAATACCTTAAACCTTACCCTAGCCCCAAAACCTAATACCCGGGTAATACCATCAGGAAGCCCGAAAACCCCCAATTTTTTTTTTCTTTGTTCTTTTTTTTTTGGTCTTACTAACTCCAAAAGGTTGGAAAAGAGTTCTTACAAAGATTTTGGACAGTGATTTTAACCCTAACGCCAAAAACCTTAAACCTTACCCTAGCCCCAAAACCTGACACTCGGGTATTACCTTCAGGAAGCCCGAAGACGCCAAATATTTTTTTTTCTTTTTTCTTTTTTTTTGGTCTAACTAACTCCAAAAGGTTGGAAAAGAGTTCCTACAAAGGTTTTGGACAGTGATTTTAACCCTAACGCCAAAAACCTTAAACCTTTCCAAAGCCTCATAACCTAATACCCGGGTATTACCTTCAGGAAGCCCGAAAACCCCCATTTTTTTTTTCCTTTTTCATTTTTTTTTGGTCTAACTAACTCCAAAAGGTTGGAAAAGAGTTCCTATAAAGGTTTTGGACAGTGATTTTAACCCTAATGCCAAAAACCTTAAACCTTTCCAAAGCCCCATAAACTAATACTAATAAGGAAGCCCGAACACCCCAAATATTTTTTTTTTAATTAATCATTTTTTTTGGTCTAACTAACTCCAAATGGTTGGAAAAGAGTTCCTACAAAGGTTTTGGACAGTGATTTTAACCCTAACGCCAAAAACCTTAAACCTTACCCTAGCCCAAAAACCCTATACCCGGGTATTACCTTCAGGAACCCCGAAGACCCCAAATATTTTTTTTTTCATTTTTGGTTTTTTTTTGGTCTAACTGACTCCAAAAGGTTGGAAAAGAGTTCCTACAAAGGTTTTGGACAGTGATTTTAACCCTAACGCCAAAAACCTTAAACCTTACCCTAGCCCCAAAACCTAATACCGGGGTATTACCTTCAGGAAGGCCGAACACCCCAAATTTTTTTTTTTTTCATTTTTCGTTATTTTTTGGTCTAACTAATTCCAAAAGGTCTGAAACATGTTCCTAAAAAGGTTTTGGACAGTAATTTTAACTCTAACTCCAAAAACCTTAAACCTCACCCTAGCCCATAACCTAATACCCGGGTATTACCTTCAGGAAGCCCGAAAACCCCAAATATTTTTTTTTCATTTTTCGTTTTTTTTTTTGGTCTAACTAACTCCGAAAGGGTTGGAAAAGAGTTCCTACAAAGGTTTTGGACAGTGATTTTAACCCTCACGCCAAAAAACTTAAACCTTACCCTAGCCCCAAAACCTAATACCCGGTTATTACCTAAAGGAAGCCCTACCACCCCCAAAAAATTTTTATTATTATTTTTTGTTTTTTTTTTTGGTCTAACTAACTCCAAAAAGTCCTGAAACATGTTCCTAAAAAGGTTTTGGACAGTGATTTTAACCCTAACGCCAAAAACCTTCAACCTTACCCTAGCCCCAAAACCTAATACTTATAATAGTAATAATACTATTTTTACTATAATAATACTAATAATAGTATTACCTTCAGGAAGCCCGAAAACCACAAATATTGTTTTTTCATTTTTCCTTTTTTTCTTGTCTAACTAACTCCAAAAGGTTGGAAAAGAGTTCCTACAAAGGTTTTGGACAGTGATTTTAACCCTAACACTAAAAACCTTAAACCTTACCATAGCCCCATAACCTAATACCCGGGTATTACCTTCAGGAATCGCGAAATCCCCAACTATTTTTTTTTCTTTAATCTTTTTTTTTGGTCTAACTAACTCCAAAAGGTTGGAAAAGAGTTCCTACAAAGGTTTTGGACAGTGATTTTAACCCTCACGCCAAAAACCTTAAACCTTACCCTAGCCCCATAACCTAATACCCGGGAATTACCGTCAGGAAGTACAAACAACCCAAATATATTTTTTTCATTTTTCATTTTTTTTTGGTCTAACTCCAAAAGGTTGGAAACGAGTTCCTACAAAGGTTTTGGACACTGATTTTAACCCAAACGCAAAAAACCTTAAACCTTACCCTAAACCCATAACCTAATACATGAATTACCTTCAGGAAGCCCGAACAACCCAAATATTTTTTTTTCATTTTTCATTTTTTTTTGGTCTAACTAACTCCAAAAGGTTGGAAACGAGTTTCTACAAAGGTTTTGGACAGTGATTTCAACCCAAACGCCAAAAAACCTTAAACCTTACCCTAGCCCCATAACCTAATACAAGGGTATTACCTTCAGGAAGCCTTTACACCCCAAAAAAAATTTATTTCATTTTTAATTTTTTGGTCAAACTAACTCCAAAAGGTTGGAAAAGAGTTCCTACAAAGGTTTTGGACAGTGATTTTAACCCTAACGCCAAAAACCTTAAACCTTTGCAAAGCCTCATAACCTAATACCCGGGTATTACCTTCAGGAAGCCCGAAAACCCCCAATTTTTTTTTCATTTTTCATTTTTTTTTTGGGTCTAACTAACTCCAAAAGGTTTGAAAAGAGTTCCTACAAAGGTTTTGGACAGTGATTTTAACCCTAATGCCAAAAACCTTAAACCTTTCCAAAGCCCCATAAACTAATACTAATAAGGAAGCCCGAACACCCCAAATATATTTTTTTTAATTAATCATTTTTTTTTGGTCTAACTAACTCCAAAAGGTTGGAAAAGAGTTCCTACAAAGGTTTTGGACAGTGATTTTAACCCTAACGCCAAAAACCTTAAACCTTACCCTAGCCCCAAAACCCGATACCCGGGTATTACCATCAAGAAGCCCGAAGACCCCAAATATTTTTTTTTTCATTTTTGTTTTTTTTTTGGTCTAACTAACTCCAAAAGGTTGGAAAAGAGTTCCTACAAAGGTTTTGGACAGTGATTTTAACCCTAACGCCAAAAACCTTAAACCTTACCCTAGCCCCAAAACCTAATACCGGGGTATTACCTTCAGGAAGGCCGAACACCCCAAATTTTTTTTTTTTCATTTTTCGTTATTTTTTGGTCTAACTAATTCCAAAAGGTCTGAAACATGTTCCTAAAAAGGTTTTGGACAGTAATTTTAACCCTCACGCCAAAAAACTTAAACCTTACCCTAGCCCCAAAACCTAATACCGGGGTATTACCTTCAGGAAGCCCGAACACCCCAAATATTTTATTTTCATTTTTCTTTTTTTTTTGGTCAAACTAAATCCAAAAGGTTGGAAAAGAGTTCGTATAGAGGTTTTGGACAGTGATTTTAACCCTAACGCCAAAAACCTTAAACCTTAACCTAGCCCCAAAACCTGATACCCGGGTATTACCTTCAGGAGGCCCGAAAACCACAAATATTTTTTTTTCATTTTTCATTTTTTTTTGGTCTAACTTACTCCAAAAGGTTGGAAAAGAGTTCGTATAAAGGTTTTGGACAGTAATTTTAACTCTAACGCCAAAAAACCTTAAACCTTACCCTAGCCCCATAACCTAATACAAGGGTGTTACCTTCAGGAACCCTTTACACCCCAAAAAAAAATTTATTTCATTTTTCGTTTTTTTTTGGTCTAACTAACTCCAAAAGGTTGGAAAAGAGTTCCTACAAAGGTTTTGGACAGTGATTTTAACCCTAACACTAAAAACCTTAAACCTTACCATAGCCCCATAACCTAATACCCGGGTATTACCTTCAGGAAGCGCGAAATCCCCAACTATTTTTTTTTCTTTAATCTTTTTTTTTGGTCTAACTAACTCCAAAAGGTTGGAAAAGAGTTCCTACAAAGGTTTTGGACAGTGATTTTAACCCTCACGCCAAAAACCTTAAACCTTACCCTAGCCCCATAACCTAATACCCGGGAATTACCGTCAGGAAGTACAAACAACACAAATATATTTTTTTTATTTTTCATTTTTTTTTGGTCTAACTCCAAAAGGTTGGAAATGAGTTCCTACAAAGGTTTTGGACACTGATTTTAACCCAAACGCAAAAAACCTTAAACCTTACCCTAGCCCCATAACCTTATACCCGGGTATTACCTTCAGGAAGCCCGAACACCCCAAATATATATATTTTATTTTTATTTTTCATTTGTTTTTTGGTCTAACTCACTCCAAAAGGTTGGAAAAGAGTTCCTACAAAGGTTTTGGACAGTGATTTTAACCCTAACGCCAAAAACCTTAAACCTTACCATAGCCCCATTACCTAATAGCCGAGTATTACCTTAAGGAAGACTGAAAACCCGAAATATTTTTTTTTAATTTTTCATTTTTTTTTGGTCTAAATAACTCCAAAAGGTTGGAAAAGAGTTCCTACAAAGGTTTTGGACAGTGATTTTAACCCTAACGCCAAAAACCTTAAACCTAACCATAGCCCCATAACCAAATACCCGGGTATTACCTTCAGGAAACCCGAAAACCTCAAATATTTTTTTCATTTTACATTTTTATGGTCTAACTAACTCCAAAAGGTTTGAATAGAGTTCCTACAAAGGTTTTGGACAGTGATTTTAACCCTAACACCAAATATCTTAAACCTTAACCTAGCCCCAAAACCTGATACCCGGGTATTACCTTCAGGAAGCCCGAACACCCCAAATATTTTTTTTTCATTTTTCATTTTTTTTGGTCTAACTAACTCCAAAAGGTTGGAAAAGAGTTCCTACAAAGGTTTTGGACAGTGATTTTAACCCTAACACCAAAAACCTTAAACCTTACCCTAGCCCCATAACCTTATACCCGGGTATTACCTTCAGGAAGCCCGAACACCCCAAATATATATATTTTATTTTTATTTTTCATTTGTTTTTTGGTCTAACTCACTCCAAAAGGTTGGAAAAGAGTTCCTACAAAGGTTTTGGACAGTGATTTTAACCCTAACGCCAAAAACCTTAAACCTTACCATAGCCCCATTACCTAATAGCCGGGTATTACCTTAAGGAAGACTGAAAACCCGAAATATTTTTTTTTAATTTTTCATTTTTTTTTGGTCTAAATAACTCCAAAAGGTTGGAAAAGAGTTCCTACAAAGGTTTTGGACAGTGATTTTAACCCTAACGCCAAAAACCTTAAACCTAACCATAGCCCCATAACCAAATACCCGGGTATTACCTTCAGGAAACCCGAAAACCTCAAATATTTTTTTCATTTTACATTTTTATGGTCTAACTAACTCCAAAAGGTTTGAATAGAGTTCCTACAAAGGTTTTGGACAGTGATTTTAACCCTAACGCCAAATACCTTAAACCTTACCCTAGCCCCAAAACCTAATACCCGGGTATTACCATCAGGAAGCCCGAAAACCCCCAATTTTTTTTTTTCTTTGTTCTTTTTTTTTTGGTCTTACTAACTCCAAAAGGTCTGAAACATGTTCCTAAAAAGGTTTTGGACAGTGATTTTAATCCTAACGCCAAAAACCTTAAACCTTACCCTAGCCCCATAACCTAATACCCGGGTATTACCTTCAGGAAGCCCGAACACCCCAAATAAAAATTTTTATTTTTATTTTTTTTGGTCTTACTAACTCCAAAAGGTTGGAAAAGAGTTCCTACAAAGGTTTTGGACGGTGATTTTTACCCTAACGCCGAAAGACTCAAACGTTTCCAAAGCCCCAAAACCTAATACCCGGGTATTACCTTCAGGAAGCCCGAACACCCCAAATATGTTTTTTCCATTTTTCTTTTTTTTTTGTCTAACTAATTCCAAAAGGTTGGAAAAGAGTTCCTACAGAGGTTTTTGACAGTGATTTTAACCCTAACGCCAAAAACCTTTAACTTTACCCTAGCCCCAAAACCTGATACCCGGATATTACCTTCAGGAAGCCCGAAAACCCCCATTTTTATTTTTCATTTTTTATTTTTTTTTGGTCTAACTAATTCCAAAAGGTTTGAATAGAGTTCCTACAAAGGTTTTGGACAGTGATTTTAACCCTAACGCCAAAAACCTTAAACCTTTCCAAAGCCCCATAACCTAATACCCGGGTATTAACTTCAGGAAGCCCGAACACCCCAAATATGTTTTTTTTTTCATTTTACATTTTTTTTTTGGTCTAACTAACTCCAAAAGGTTTGAAAAGAGTTCCTACAAAGGTTTTGGACAGTGATTTTAACCCTAACACCAAAAACCTTAAACCTTACCCTAGCCCCAAAAGCTTATACCCGGGTATTACCTTCAGGAAGCCTGAACACCCCAAATATTTTTTTTTCATTTTACATTTTTTTTTGGTTTAACCAACTCCAAAAGGTCTGAAACAAGTTCCTAAAAAGGTTTTGGACAGTGATTTTAACCCTAACGCCAAAAACCTTAAACCTTACCCTAGCCCCAAAACCTAATACCGGGGTATTACCTTCAGGAAGGCCGAACACCCCCAATTTTTTTTTTTTCATTTTTCGTTATTTTTTGGTCTAACTAATTCCAAAAGGTCTGAAACATGTTCCTAAAAAGGTTTTGGACAGTAATTTTAACCCTCACGCCAAAAAACTTAAACCTTACCCTAGCCCCAAAACCTAATACCGGGGTATTACCTTCAGGAAGCCCGAACACCCCAAATATTTTATTTTCATTTTTCTTTTTTTTTTGGTCAAACTAAATCCAAAAGGTTGGAAAAGAGTTCGTATAGAGGTTTTGGACAGTGATTTTAACCCTAACGCCAAAAACCTTAAACCTTAACCTAGCCCCAAAACCTGATACCCGGGTATTACCTTCAGGAGGCCCGAAAACCACAAATATTTTTTTTTCATTTTTCATTTTTTTTTGGTCTAACTTACTCCAAAAGGTTGGAAAAGAGTTCGTATAAAGGTTTTGGACAGTAATTTTAACTCTAACGCCAAAAAACCTTAAACCTTACCCTAGCCCCATAACCTAATACAAGGGTGTTACCTTCAGGAACCCTTTACACCCCAAAAAAAAATTTATTTCATTTTTCGTTTTTTTTTGGTCTAACTAACTCCAAAAGGTTGGAAAAGAGTTCCTACAAAGGTTTTGGACAGTGATTTTAACCCTAACACTAAAAACCTTAAACCTTACCATAGCCCCATAACCTAATACCCGGGTATTACCTTCAGGAAGCGCGAAATCCCCAACTATTTTTTTTTCTTTAATCTTTTTTTTTGGTCTAACTAACTCCAAAAGGTTGGAAAAGAGTTCCTACAAAGGTTTTGGACAGTGATTTTAACCCTCACGCCAAAAACCTTAAACCTTACCCTAGCCCCATAACCTAATACCCGGGAATTACCGTCAGGAAGTACAAACAACCCAAATATATTTTTTTCATTTTTCATTTTTTTTTGGTCTAACTCCAAAAGGTTGGAAATGAGTTCCTACAAAGGTTTTGGACACTGATTTTAACCCAAACGCCAAAAACCTTAAACCTTACCCTAGCCCCATAACCTTATACCCGGGTATTACCTTCAGGAAGCCCGAACACCCCAAATATATATATTTTATTTTTATTTTTCATTTGTTTTTTGGTCTAACTCACTCCAAAAGGTTGGAAAAGAGTTCCTACAAAGGTTTTGGACAGTGATTTTAACCCTAACGCCAAAAACCTTAAACCTTACCATAGCCCCATTACCTAATAGCCGAGTATTACCTTAAGGAAGACTGAAAACCCGAAATATTTTTTTTTAATTTTTCATTTTTTTTTGGTCTAAATAACTCCAAAAGGTTGGAAAAGAGTTCCTACAAAGGTTTTGGACAGTGATTTTAACCCTAACGCCAAAAACCTTAAACCTAACCATAGCCCCATAACCAAATACCCGGGTATTACCTTCAGGAAACCCGAAAACCTCAAATATTTTTTTCATTTTACATTTTTATGGTCTAACTAACTCCAAAAGGTTTGAATAGAGTTCCTACAAAGGTTTTGGACAGTGATTTTAACCCTAACCCAAATATCTTAAACCTTAACCTAGCCCCAAAACCTGATACCCGGGTATTACCTTCAGGAAGCCCGAACACCCCAAATATTTTTTTTTCATTTTTCATTTTTTTTGGTCTAACTAACTCCAAAAGGTTGGAAAAGAGTTCCTACAAAGGTTTTGGACAGTGATTTTAACCCTAACACCAAAAACCTTAAACCTTACCCTAGCCCCATAACCTTATACCCGGGTATTACCTTCAGGAAGCCCGAACACCCCAAATATATATATTTTATTTTTATTTTTCATTTGTTTTTTGGTCTAACTCACTCCAAAAGGTTGGAAAAGAGTTCCTACAAAGGTTTTGGACAGTGATTTTAACCCTAACGCCAAAAACCTTAAACCTTACCATAGCCCCATTACCTAATAGCCGGGTATTACCTTCAGGAAGACTGAAAACCCCAAATATTTTTTTTTCATTTTTCATTTTTTTTTGGTCTAAATAACTCCAAAAGGTTGGAAAAGAGTTCCTACAAAGGTTTTGGACAGTTATTTTAACCCTAACGCCAAAAACCTTAAACCTAACCATAGCCCCATAACCAAATACCCGGGTATTACCTTCAGGAAACCCGAAAACCTCAAATATTTTTTTCATTTTACATTTTTATGGTCTAACTAACTCCAAAAGGTTTGAATAGAGTTCCTACAAAGGTTTTGGACAGTGATTTTAACCCTAACGCCAAATACCTTAAACCTTACCCTAGCCCCAAAACCTAATACCCGGGTATTACCATCAGGAAGCCAGAAAACCCCCAATTTTTTTTTTTCTTTGTTCTTTTTTTTTTGGTCTTACTAACTCCAAAAGGTCTGAAACATGTTCCTAAAAAGGTTTTGGACAGTGATTTTAATCCTAACGCCAAAAACCTTAAACCTTACCCTAGCCCCATAACCTAATACCCGGGTATTACCTTCAGGAAGCCCGAACACCCCAAATAAAAATTTTTATTTTTATTTTTTTTTGTCTTACTAACTCCAAAAGGTTGGAAAAGAGTTCCTACAAAGGTTTTGGACAGTGATTTTTACCCTAACGCCGAAAGACTCAAACGTTTCCAAAGCCCCAAAACCTGATACCCGGGTATTACCTTCAGGAAGCCCGAACACCCCAAATATTTTTTTTTCATTTTTCATTTTTTTTGGTCTAACTAACTCCAAAAGGTTGGAAAAGAGTTCCTACAAAGGTTTTGGACAGTGATTTTAACCCTAACACCAAAAACCTTAAACCTTACCCTAGCCCCATAACCTTATACCCGGGTATTACCTTCAGGAAGCCCGAAAACCCCCAATTTTTTTTTCCTTTTTCATTTTTTTTTTTGGTCTAACTAACTCCAAAAGGTTGGAAAAGAGTTCCTATAAAGGTTTTGGACAGTGATTTTAACCCTAATGCCAAAAACCTTAAACCTTTCCAAAGCCCCATAAACTAATACTAATAAGGAAGCCCGAACACCCCAAATATATTTTTTTTAATTAATCATTTTTTTTGGTCTAACTAACTCCAAATGGTTGGAAAAGAGTTCCTACAAAGGTTTTGGACAGTGATTTTAACCCTAACGCCAAAAACCTTAAACCTTACCCTAGCCCAAAAACCCAACACCCGGGCATTACCTTCAGGAACCCCGAAGACCCCAAATATTTTTTTTTTCATTTTTGGTTTTTTTTTGGTCTAACTAACTCCAAAAGGTTGGAAAAGAGTTCCTACAAAGGTTTTGGACAGTGATTTTAACCCTAACGCCAAAAACCTTAAACCTTACCCTAACCCCAAAACCTAATACCGGGGTATTACCTTCAGGAAGGCCGAACAACCCAAATTTTTTTTTTTTTCATTTTTCGTTATTTTTTGGTCTAATTCCAAAAGGTCTGAAACATGTTCCTAAAAAGGTTTTGGACAGTAATTTTAACTCTAACGCCAAAAACCTTAAACCTTACCCTAGCCCATAACCTAATACCCGGGTATTACCTTCAGGAAGCCCGAAAACCCCAAATATTTTTTTTTCATTTTTCGTTTTTTTTTTGGTCTAACTAACTCCGAAAGGGTTGGAAAAGAGTTCCTACAAAGGTTTTGGACAGTGATTTTAACCCTCACGCCAAAAAACTTAAACCTTACCCTAGCCCCAAAACCTAATACCCGGGTATTACCTTCAGGAAGCCCGAAGACCCCAAATATTTTTTTTCCATTTTTCGTTTTTTTTTTGGTCTAACTAATTCCAAAAGGTCTGAAACATGTTCCTAAAAAGGTTTTGGACAGTGATTTTAACCCTCACGCCAAAAACCTTAAACCTTACCCTAGCCCCATAACCTAATACCCGGGTATTACCTTCAGGAAGCCCGAACACCCCAAATATTTTATTTTCATTTTTCTTTTTTTTTGGTCAAACTAAATCCAAAAGGTTGGATAAGAGTTCTTATAAAGGTTTTGGACAGTGATTTTAACCCTAACGCCAAAAACCTTAAACCTTAACCTAGCCCCAAAACCTTATACCCGGGTATTACCTTCAGGAGGCCCGAAAACCACAAATATTTTTTTTTCATTTTTTATTTTTTTTTGGTCTAACTAATTCCAAAAGGTTGGAAAAGAGTTCCTACAAAGGTTTTGCACAGTGATTTTAACCCTCACGCCAAAAACCTTAAACCTTAACCTAGCCCCAAAACCTGATACCCGGGTATTACCTTCAGGAAGCCCGAACACCCCAAATATTTTTTTTTCATTTTTCATTTTTTTTGGTCTAACTAACTCCAAAAGGTTGGAAAAGAGTTCCTACAAAGGTTTTGGACAGTGATTTTAACCCTAACACCAAAAACCTTAAACCTTACCCTAGCCCCATAACCTTATACCCGGGTATTACCTTCAGGAAGCCCGAACACCCCAAATATATATATTTTATTTTTATTTTTCATTTGTTTTTTGGTATAACTCACTCCAAAAGGTTGGAAAAGAGTTCCTACAAAGGTTTTGGACAGTGATTTTAACCCTCACGCCAAAAACCTTAAACCTTACCATAGCCCCATTACCTAATAGCCGGGTATTACCTTAAGGAAGACTGAAAACCCGAAATATTTTTTTTTAATTTTTCATTTTTTTTTGGTCTAAATAACTCCAAAAGGTTGGAAAAGAGTTCCTACAAAGGTTTTGGACAGTGATTTTAACCCTAACGCCAAAAACCTTAAACCTAACCATAGCCCCATAACCAAATACCCGGGTATTACCTTCAGGAAACCCGAAAACCTCAAATATTTTTTTCATTTTACATTTTTATGGTCTAACTAACTCCAAAAGGTTTGAATAGAGTTCCTACAAAGATTTTGGACAGTGATTTTAACCCTAACGCCAAATACCTTAAACCTTACCCTAGCCCCAAAACCTAATACCCGGGTATTACCATCAGGAAGCCCAAAAACCCCCAATTTTTTTTTTTCTTTGTTCTTTTTTTTTTGGTCTTACTAACTCCAAAAGGTCTGAAACATGTTCCTAAAAAGGTTTTGGACAGTGATTTTAATCCTAACGCCAAAAACCTTCAACCTTACCCTAGCCCCATAACCTAATACCCGGGTATTACCTTCAGGAAGCCCGAACACCCCAAATAAAAATTTTTATTTTTATTTTTTTTGGTCTTACTAACTCCAAAAGGTTTGAATAGAGTTCCTACAAAGGTTTTGGACAGTGATTTTTACCCTAACGCCGAAAGACTCAAACGTTTCCAAAGCCCCAAAACCTAATACCCGGGTATTACCTTCAGGAAGCCCGAACACCCCAAATATGTTTTTTCCATTTTTCTTTTTTTTTTGGTCTAACTAATTCCAAAAGGTTGGAAAAGAGTTCCTACAGAGGTTTTGGACAGTGATTTTAACCCTAACGCCAAAAACCTTTAACTTTACCCTAGCCCCATAACCTGATACCCGGGTATTACCTTCAGGAAGCCCGAAAACCCCCATTTTTATTTTTCATTTTTCATTTTTTTTTTGGTCTAGCTAACTCCAAAAGGTTGGAAAAGAGTTCCTACAAAGGTTTTGGACAGTGATTTTAACCCTAACGCCAAAAACCTTAAACCTTAACCTAGCCCCAAAACCTTATACCCGGGTATTACCTTCAGGAGGCCCGAAAACCACAAATATTTTTTTTTCATTTTTTATTTTTTTTTGGTCTAACTAATTCCAAAAGGTTTGAAAAGAGTTCCTACAAAGGTTTTGCACAGTGATTTTAACCCTCACGCCAAAAACCTTAAACCTTAACCTAGCCCCAAAACCTGATACCCGGGTATTACCTTCAGGAAGCCCGAACACCCCAAATATTTTTTTTTCATTTTCATTTTTTTTGGTCTAACTAACTCCAAAAGGTTGGAAAAGAGTTCCTACAAAGGTTTTGGACAGTGATTTTAACCCTAACACCAAAAACCTTAAACCTTACCCTAGCCCCATAACCTTATACCCGGGTATTACCTTCAGGAAGCCCGAACACCCCAAATATATATATTTTATTTTTATTTTTCATTTGTTTTTTGGTCTAACTCACTCCAAAAGGTTGGAAAAGAGTTCCTACAAAGGTTTTGGACAGTGATTTTAACCCTAACGCCAAAAACCTTAAACCTTACCATAGCCCCATTACCTAATAGCCGGGTATTACCTTAAGGAAGACTGAAAACCCGAAATATTTTTTTTTAATTTTTCATTTTTTTTTGGTCTAACTAACTCCAAAAGGTTGGAAAAGAGTTCCTACAAAGGTTTTGGACAGTGATTTTAACCCTAACGCCAAAAAACCTTAAACCTTACCCTAGCCCCATACCCTAAACCAGGTATTACCTTCAGGAAGCCCGAACACCCCAAATATTTTTTTTTTCATTTTCATTTTTTTTTGGTCTAACTCCAAAAGGTTTGAATAGAGTTCCTACAAAGGTTTTGGCAGTGATTTTAACCCCTAACGCCAAAAACCTTTAACGTTTCCAAAGCCCCATAACCTAATACTCGGGTATTACCTTCAGGAAGCACGAACACCCCAAATATGTTTTTTTCATTTTTCATTTTTTTTTGGTCTAACTCATTCCAAAAGTTTGGAAAAGAGTTCCTACAAAGGTTTTGGACAGTGATTTTAACCCTAACGCCAAAAACCTTCAAACTTACCCTAGCCCCATAACCTAATACCCAGGTATTACCTTCAGGAAGCCCGATCACCCCAAATATATATTTTTTATTTTTATTTTTTTTGGTCTAACTAACTCCAAAAGGTTGGAAAAGAGTTCCTATAAACTTTTTGGACAGTGATTTTAACTCTAACGCCAAAAACCTTAAACCTTACCCTAGCCCCAAAACCTAATACCCGGGTATTACCTTCAGGAAGGCTGAAAACCACAAATATATTTTTTTCATTTTTCCTTTTTTTCTTGTCTAACTAACTCCAAAAGGTTTGAATAGAGTTCCTACAAAGGTTTTGGACAGTGATTTTAACCCTAACGCCAAATACCTTAAACCTTACCCTAGCCCCAAAACCTAATACCCGGGTAATACCATCAGGAAGCCCGAAAACCCCCAATTTTTTTTTTCTTTGTTCTTTTTTTTTTGGTCTTACTAACTCCAAAAGGTTGGAAAAGAGTTCTTACAAAGATTTTGGACAGTGATTTTAACCCTAACGCCAAAAACCTTAAACCTTACCCTAGCCCCAAAACCTGACACTCGGGTATTACCTTCAGGAAGCCCGAAGACGCCAAATATTTTTTTTTCTTTTTTCTTTTTTTTTGGTCTAACTAACTCCAAAAGGTTGGAAAAGAGTTCCTACAAAGGTTTTGGACAGTGATTTTAACCCTAACGCCAAAAACCTTAAACCTTTCCAAAGCCTCATAACCTAATACCCGGGTATTACCTTCAGGAAGCCCGAAAACCCCCATTTTTTTTTTCCTTTTTCATTTTTTTTTGGTCTAACTAACTCCAAAAGGTTGGAAAAGAGTTCCTATAAAGGTTTTGGACAGTGATTTTAACCCTAATGCCAAAAACCTTAAACCTTTCCAAAGCCCCATAAACTAATACTAATAAGGAAGCCCGAACACCCCAAATATTTTTTTTTTAATTAATCATTTTTTTTGGTCTAACTAACTCCAAATGGTTGGAAAAGAGTTCCTACAAAGGTTTTGGACAGTGATTTTAACCCTAACGCCAAAAACCTTAAACCTTACCCTAGCCCAAAAACCCTATACCCGGGTATTACCTTCAGGAACCCCGAAGACCCCAAATATTTTTTTTTTCATTTTTGGTTTTTTTTTGGTCTAACTAACTCCAAAAGGTTGGAAAAGAGTTCCTACAAAGGTTTTGGACAGTGATTTTAACCCTAACGCCAAAAACCTTAAACCTTACCCTAGCCCCAAAACCTAATACCGGGGTATTACCTTCAGGAAGGCCGAACACCCCAAATTTTTTTTTTTTTCATTTTTCGTTATTTTTTGGTCTAACTAATTCCAAAAGGTCTGAAACATGTTCCTAAAAAGGTTTTGGACAGTAATTTTAACTCTAACTCCAAAAACCTTAAACCTCACCCTAGCCCATAACCTAATACCCGGGTATTACCTTCAGGAAGCCCGAAAACCCCAAATATTTTTTTTTCATTTTTCGTTTTTTTTTTTGGTCTAACTAACTCCGAAAGGGTTGGAAAAGAGTTCCTACAAAGGTTTTGGACAGTGATTTTAACCCTCACGCCAAAAAACTTAAACCTTACCCTAGCCCCAAAACCTAATACCCGGTTATTACCTAAAGGAAGCCCTACCACCCCCAAAAAAATTTTATTATTATTTTTTGTTTTTTTTTTTGGTCTAACTAACTCCAAAAAGTCCTGAAACATGTTCCTAAAAAGGTTTTGGACAGTGATTTTAACCCTAACGCCAAAAACCTTCAACCTTACCCTAGCCCCAAAACCTAATACTTATAATAGTAATAATACTATTTTTACTATAATAATACTAATAATAGTATTACCTTCAGGAAGCCCGAAAACCACAAATATTGTTTTTTCATTTTTCCTTTTTTTCTTGTCTAACTAACTCCAAAAGGTTGGAAAAGAGTTCCTACAAAGGTTTTGGACAGTGATTTTAACCCTAACACTAAAAACCTTAAACCTTACCATAGCCCCATAACCTAATACCCGGGTATTACCTTCAGGAATCGCGAAATCCCCAACTATTTTTTTTTCTTTAATCTTTTTTTTTGGTCTAACTAACTCCAAAAGGTTGGAAAAGAGTTCCTACAAAGGTTTTGGACAGTGATTTTAACCCTCACGCCAAAAACCTTAAACCTTACCCTAGCCCCATAACCTAATACCCGGGAATTACCGTCAGGAAGTACAAACAACCCAAATATATTTTTTTCATTTTTCATTTTTTTTTGGTCTAACTCCAAAAGGTTGGAAACGAGTTCCTACAAAGGTTTTGGACACTGATTTTAACCCAAACGCAAAAAACCTTAAACCTTACCCTAAACCCATAACCTAATACATGAATTACCTTCAGGAAGCCCGAACAACCCAAATATTTTTTTTTCATTTTTCATTTTTTTTTGGTCTAACTAACTCCAAAAGGTTGGAAACGAGTTTCTACAAAGGTTTTGGACAGTGATTTCAACCCAAACGCCAAAAAACCTTAAACCTTACCCTAGCCCCATAACCTAATACAAGGGTATTACCTTCAGGAAGCCTTTACACCCCAAAAAAAATTTATTTCATTTTTAATTTTTTGGTCAAACTAACTCCAAAAGGTTGGAAAAGAGTTCCTACAAAGGTTTTGGACAGTGATTTTAACCCTAACGCCAAAAACCTTAAACCTTTCCAAAGCCTCATAACCTAATACCCGGGTATTACCTTCAGGAAGCCCGAAAACCCCCAATTTTTTTTTCCTTTTTCATTTTTTTTTTTGGTCTAACTAACTCCAAAAGGTTTGAAAAGAGTTCCTACAAAGGTTTTGGACAGTGATTTTAACCCTAATGCCAAAAACCTTAAACCTTTCCAAAGCCCCATAAACTAATACTAATAAGGAAGCCCGAACACCCCAAATATATTTTTTTTAATTAATCATTTTTTTTTGGTCTAACTAACTCCAAAAGGTTGGAAAAGAGTTCCTACAAAGGTTTTGGACAGTGATTTTAACCCTAACGCCAAAAACCTTAAACCTTACCCTAGCCCCAAAACCCGATACCCGGGTATTACCATCAGGAAGCCCGAAGACCCCAAATATTTTTTTTTTCATTTTTGTTTTTTTTTTGGTCTAACTAACTCCAAAAGGTTGGAAAAGAGTTCCTACAAAGGTTTTGGACAGTGATTTTAACCCTAACGCCAAAAACCTTAAACCTTACCCTAGCCCCAAAACCTAATACCGGGGTATTACCTTCAGGAAGGCCGAACACCCCAAATTTTTTTTTTTTCATTTTTCGTTA